TGCACCTGCAGATTCAACCAAGTTAGCATCAAAAATATTGGAAAAAAATTTAAAAAACAGTACAACAATAAAAATACAAAAAAACAATACAGTGTAACAACTATTTACATAGTGTTTATTTTGTATTAGGTATAGTAAGTAGCCCAGAGATGTGTATACCAGAGAATTTGCATAGGTTATGTACAAATACTACACCATTTTGTATTAGGGATCTGAGCATTTGTAGATTTTGGTATCTTTGGGGGTCCTAGACCCAATCCTCCTATAATATCAAGGGATAACTGACTGTATACCCAAAAGAAAATAAAAACAAAACTTGTATATAAATGTTTATAGCAGCACTATTCATAATAGTCAAAAGGTGGAAATAAACCAAATATCCATCAATGAAGGTATAAATAAACAAAATGTGGTATATCCACACAATGGAATATTATTATTCAGTCACAAAAAAGAAAGTACTGATATATGCTGCAGTATATATATTTTGAGCCACAGTTTCACTCTGTCATCCAGGTTGGAGTACAGTGGCATGATCATGCTCACTGCAGCCTCAAAACCCCTGAGTAAAGCAATCCTCCCACCTCAGCTTCCTGAGTACCTGGGACTACAGGTGTGTGACACTATATCCAGCTAATTTTTATTTTTTGTAGCACTGATGTCTTACTATGTTGCCCAGGTTGGTATCAAACTCCTGGCCTCAAGTGACCCTCCTACCTTGGCCTCCCAAAGTGCTGAGATTACAAGCGTGAGCCACTGTGCCCAGTCAGATGAATATTCTATTTTATTTTATGTAACTTTTTATTTTATTTTACTGTATTTTAGTCAGAGTCTCACTCTGTTGCTCAGGTTAGGTGCAGTAGCATGATCGTGACTACTACAATCTTGACCTGCTGGGCTCAGGTGATCCTTTCCACCTCAGCCTTCCAAGTACCTGGGACTACAGGTGTGTGCCAAAACTCCTACCTATCTACCTATCTACCTACCTATCTATCTATCTATCTATCTATCTATCTATCTATCTATCTATCTATCTTAGAGATGAGGTCTCGCCATGTTGCCCACACACTGGTCTCGAACTCTTGGGCTCAAGCAATCCTCTTGCCTTGGCCTCCCAAAGTTCTGGAATTACAAGCATGAGCCACCATGTCTGGCCTGGATGAACCTTTAAAACATATACTAAATGAAAGAAGCCAGTCTCAAAAGGCTACATATTATATGATTCCCTTCATATGCAATGTCCAGAACAGTTATATGTATAGAGATAGAAAGTAGATTATTGTTTGCTTAGAACTGAGGGGAAGGGAGATTTCAACTAAAGGGTGAGGTGATCAAAATAGGCTAAAATTGACTGTGGAGATGGTTGCACATTTCTGCAAATATTAAATACCACTAGGCCAGGCATGGAGGCTCACGCCTGTAACCCCAGCACTTGGGGAGGCGAAGGTAAGAGGATTGCCTGAGACCGTGGGTTCGAGACCAGCCTGAGCAACATGGCGAGACTTCGTCTCTACAATAATCAAAAAATTAGAACTACATGCCTGTAGTTCTAGATACTTGGAAAACTGAGGTGGAAGGATCGGCAGGTTGAGGTTGCAGTGGACGTGAGCGTGCCACTGCACTACTGCCTGGGTGACAGAGTGAGATTCCAACTAAAAAAACCAAAACAAAAACAAAAACAAAATGTTTTGCACTTCACCTTGATTTTGAAAAAGTAGTAAATAAAAACTGATGAGAACCCATTTTATAAATAAATAAATAAATAAATAAAACTGAATTGTACACTTTAAATGGCTGAACTATATGGTATGTGAATTCTATCTCTATAAAGTTGTTAAAAACTTCAGTTCTACTTTACCCTCCAACACTATTAAATATTGAACAGGAATGCAGATGTGGAGGACAAAGAACTAGGAAGCAGAATATGACTAACTTATAATATAATATGAGCCCCCCCACCCCCAGACCGAAATTATCTTTCGGAGGGCAGGCCCCTTGTAGCACTATCTTCCTCCACTAGATGAGCGTTCTACGAATTCATCAGCAACAATGTACCAGCTAGTGCTGTTGTGAGATGCTGCGTTTGACTTTCATGAATTTTCTTTTGGAGATTCTTTCAATGCATTTGCCCATTTCATGATGAGTGATTTACGAGTGAACCGGTCCACAATGCACTGAGTGCTCAGCAGTTTTTGACCAAAATCTCCAGTGCCCTAACCTCCCTACTCACCTGATCTCACCAAGTGACTTTTTTTTTGTTTTTCAGGATGAAAAAAGTCCTCAAAGGAAAACTTTTGCCAATGTGGAAGAGGTGAAACAAAAAATGGCAGAAGCACTATAAAGTATCAAAATTGATTAGTCAAAAACTGTTATGAGCAGTGGAAAAAGCATCTAGGTAGATGTATTGCATCAAGCAGAATACTTTGATGGTGACTTAAGTTTGAACATGTAAGACTAAAGATACAATTTTTTATAGATAAATTCTGGGGGTTTTGTGGTCCCCCTTGTATATGAAAATTTATTTCCCCCTAAAAGGTATGTACCAGTGGGTAACACAACATAAAAAAGCATGCCAAGTTGGGCATGGTGGCTCATGCTTGCAATCCCAACTTACTCAGGAGGCCAAGGTGGGAGGATCATATGAGTCCAGAAGTTCGAAGGCAACATAGCAAGACTCTCTCTCTCAAAAAAACAAAAACAAAAACAAAAAAACAACCATCTAACCCAGGATACTCAGAATATACAACATTTTTTTCCCCAAAAGCAACTCTTTAATTTCTGGTAACTCTGCCAGGTATATGAAATACCAAACATGATTAATATATTTGATTAACTGAAACAATAATATGAACTTACTAGAACTCTGACAAGCTCTAAATATATTCTGCACAGAATGGTATCTCTGATTTCCTTAGGTATAAAATGACTCAGTAAAAGTGAATTTCTCAAGGAAGGATTTACATCTTATTTAGGATTTACCAATAAATGTGTGCTTTTTTTCTTCTGGATCCTAGTTTTAGTTGATAAACACCATTAAGTAGGACCAAAAAAGGCACTCTAAAAGTTAACCCTATAAGGTACAATTATTTTATTTTTTCTTTTTAAAATTTTGAACCTGTTACAAGTCTAGAATATAGCAAGTGTGCTTATTATAGGATAGCTACATGGTAGAAATTCTTCCAAACACTTGATTGAAAAATATTTAGGAACCAAATTAAATTTCCAGACCTTTAACCTATTTCCTACATGAGAGTCATCCAAGAGTTGGTGAGAAGGGACAACCAACTGCTAGTTCTTCAGGGTTCAAAGGTTGCCCAGTTTCAGACCTCCTTACTTGCAATAGAAGCGACATGGGAAACTGAACCAGTTTCAGTTACCACTGCCTTGATAAAATGACATTTCACTTCTGCCTCAGATAAGACCTTAAGAAAAGTATTCAGGGTCCCTTTAGTTCTAACACTCCTTTATGCCTGTCACTAAACAATAGTCAAGCACCAGAGACCACCTTGTCCAGAGCTCCACTGCCTCCAACTCACCAGGTTCTCTTCCCCTGACTATACTCTCTCCTCTCCCCTCTCCTACGCAGTGCATTCTGCAATAAGACCCACAGCTCAATCATCTTTTTATTTTCTGTGTAGTATCTTGATTCCTCAAGAGAAAGTTCCAAGCACAAATAAACCACATGCTAGAGTTTAAACTCATTCTCAGTCAGGTGTGTGGTTCACATCTGTGATCTCAACACTTTGGGAAGCCTAGGCAAGAGTATCACTTGAGGCCAGGAGTTTGAGACCAGCCTTGGCAACATAGCAAAACACTATCTCTATAAAAATAATAATTAAAACAATTTAAGGCCAGGTGTGGTGGTTCAAGCCTGCAATCCCAGCACTTTGGGAGGCCAAGGTGAGGGGATTGCCTGAACCCACGAGTTCAAGAACAACCTGGGCAACTTGGAAAACCTCATCTCTACAATAAATCAAAAAATTAGTTGGGTATGATAGCACATGTCTGTAGTTTCAGCTACTTGGAAGGCTGAGGCGGAAGGATCACCTGAGCCCAGCAAGTTGATGCTGGGGTGGCTGTGGGTGTGCCACCACACTCCAGCCTGGGCGACAGAGTGAGACTTCAACTAAAAAAAAAAACTTTTTAAAAAATAACTTCATTATCTTGTTCTTACTTTTGTGATCTTAAGAGCAGGATAAGCTTCCAAAGATGTTACTTTATACCAATAAAAATTAGAAAAAAGAATATATTTATCCATTATACATGGAAATATTCTAAAAGAACTTTTGTTCTAATACCACTAGATAAACAGAAAAAATGCTGTCCAATGTATCATGTGAGCCTAAAAAGTAAATAAGTATTACTTAAATATCGATATATGCATATGCTTTTACTATATTCAGTTGTTCTTGCCAATATTATTGGTGCACTCCTCTATCTGGGAATTTTCAAAATAAAAATTGCATTATTGCTGACCTAAAAAAACAAGTTATATGCTAACACTATACAACACCTCCTACATGCCAGGTTCTTTACATGGCATTTGCCCAATCCTTACACCAGCCACTCTGAGACGGAGGGATTATAATCATCCCCATGTTTCGGTCAAGGAAGCTGACACACACAGAAGTTAAGTAGTGTTCCCTCACTCAGGCAGCCAGTTACATAGGTACCCAGGCAGCTAAGCTGGGAAGGTCTGGGTATAAGCCATCTGGCTCCAGTTTGCACTCTCTAGCAGTCCTCTTAACCAGCCTCTCAAAAGAGAAGAGTAGAAAGACCTAATTATATCCGAATTTTAAACAAAAGACAGGGGAATACCATTTTCCGAACTAAAAGAAGTAACTTGGATTCACTGTTTCTAAGGATTTTATTGTGTGTAACCAAAGCTACTCTTGACCAACTTACAAAAAGCAAAATCTAACCAGTAAAATGGAATTTTGTATAATACTTGAAATTTAGAAAATATAAGAAAATATGCCTCCAAAAGTCATGCTTCTTACCTCAATGTCAAATATTTCCACGGTGTTGTCCAGCAGCTTCACTCTGACGTGCAGGTGCTTCTCCTGCATTCTGGATGAGAGAGTGTGCCCAGGCTCGAGAGTGCTAACTCCTACAGGGGTCTGGGCACCCAAGCGTGTCCCTGCAGTCTGCAGAACTCTGTATGTTCCTTCTATCTCCCCCATTCTTCACCAGCCGGGAGTGAAGAAAATGCTAAAACAAAACAAAAAAGCTTGTGAAGGAATTGTCACATTATTTAGATATTAAAACAATATAAAAAAAGAATTCTCAGGGACACAGGAATCCTCTATTTTTAATAACTTCCATGAATCTTAAATCACCTCAAAACAAAGAGTTAAAAAAGATTACCTTCTACTCACACATGTATAGGTGGAGCATAAAATAACAACATCACCCCAATATCAACATTTCCAGGTGCGTTACGAGGTAGGCGGCACACGTATTAACTCATTTAACCCACAAAACCTCACAAACAAGAGACAACATCTCTACTCGTTTAGCAGAAGCAAGAGAGCCCAGGACTGCTGGACCCTCCCTAGGCTGCCTGGTCCTTGGCACATCTCTCTCTACCAGCCCAAACTGTTACTGTGCTGATGATCTTTTTTAAGTCCTAGACAGTGCCATTTCTAGCAAAGGAAAGCAGGCTCCCTGGAGCATAGCATAGCAGCATGTCAGGAGGCACACAGCAAGGTCTGACACATTTATGCAACTTTTCTCACCTCTGCTGACTCTGTGTTGAGTAGAAGGCTACTCAGGATGAGGATAAATGCCAAGAAAAGTAGAGGAAGATAGCCAGGCTTGTCTTTGTCAGCTTTGTTCTCCTTGGTTTTTCTAATTTGTGTCTTACCAGGGTGGAGTGGGTGCCACTGGTAGTTTGGGAGGTAATTTCAGGTATGGCACAGAACGATGGCCTAGACAAAGACAATGAGGATCACACACCTGGTATTGGGAGGCACCTGTCCTCCCCCATCCTCACAATAACTCCCTTGTCACCACCCACAGCCCCTTAATAGACTACAACACTGAAGACCCAAAAGGCTCAAATGAGAAGCTCATGTCCTTTTGTGTCAAGGGAAAGGTCTCTGCTTGCAAGATTTTAAGTCTGCCAGGGTTATTTTCTTCATTTTTAAAAATGCACTATAGATTTGATTTTTTTTCTATTTAAGTTGGATATTTTATTTTATAGCATATATTTGAGGTTTGCAACAAGATGTTATAGGATAGAAAAGGATAGTAAAATGTCTCTTCATTTTTTTGGTGTTTTTTTTTTTTTGAAAGCAGGATTTATTGAGAGGATAGAAAGGCTCCCACAAGTGGGGGGGACCCAAAGGGGTTGCCTCTTCATTGTTTTTGACAAAGTAAAAGCAGGCTACATGTCAGTTAGACTCTAATAATGTTGGCTTGTTTTAAATTGTATTTATTAATACGATTGCCTACTATTTATGGTAATCTTCCTTCTTAAACATCTTTTATTTATGATTGAAAATTAATTTAAAAACATTTAACAGCAAAACATACTACATCAAAAGAAACAGCAAAACAGGTAGAGGTGAGACACAAATGCCAGATGTTTAATCAACAAAGAATGTGGTGCCACAAACATTATTTTATTTTGCTTAATCACCCTCAGAGTCTTCCACTAATTTGCAGTAACCTTTTTAAGAATTAATCTCACTAAATTCCTAGTTCATTTTCCTTGCATGCCAACTTAATTGCTCCAAGTCTCCTGGTCCATTCCTCTTTTTCACGCTTATTTTGTTATGAAGACAAACCAAATAAAGAACTTTTTACCTCTTGCATTAATTTTGAATAGTGTCTCAGTGACTCACTGCCAAGCAACTCCTACTACACACCTAAACCCTAACCCACCAAGACAACCTTTCCACACAAATCCAATTTTTCAAACAAGAAAGCAGAAAGTGAGAAAGCTAAGACCTCTGGGGAAAGCAAAAATGTGAGTAGTATGAGCAAAATGATGAAGGAGTGCATCATTTTTCCAAGTGTCTTCTCTATCCCAATTCCTGAATAAAGGCTCTGACTGGCACATCTGTCTCCTGAGCTACATGTCTGACTGACTTAGCAGTTACCTTCATTGCAGACCTATCTCTCCATGCTGTATGCTCCTTGAAAAAAGGAGCACAATTTTTACTGTGATTGTTTGCTAAGTATTTTCATAATGTCACTGACATAAAAAAAATAAACTGTTACACATCATGTATTTTACAGACAATAACAAAAGACCAAAGACTATGACCACAAACAGAACAACACTGCAGAAAAAACTGTTTTCACAACACTAATATTAAACACGAGATATATGAAGTTTTGAGAACCATAAATATGAGCTTTTACATTTCAATTTCACAAATTTTTAATTTTCATTTTATGAATGCATAATAGTTATACATATTTATGGTGATATGATTTTTTCTAACTTATTTATCTATTGGAAAATTGTATATATTTAGCACGTACAATATGAAGCCTTGATATATGTTTATATTGTGAAATGGCCACATTGAGCCAATGGAGAACACTTAAAATCCACCCTTAGTAATTTTCAAGACTACAATGCATGGGTATTAACTATAAAGTCACCATGCTGTACAAGAGACATCCTGAACCGATATTTTATATCCTTATATAAGCATATAATGTGTAATGATCAAACTAGCATAATTAAGATATCTATCACCACAAACATTTACCGATTCTTTGTGTTGGGAACATTCAAAACCCACTCCTCTAGTTATTTTGAAATATATAAGAAATTATTAACTATAGTTGCTCTTTGTGCTATTAAACACTAGATCTTATTCCTTTTATCTAACTGAATTTTTGTACCCATTAACCCCTCTTAATCCCACCTCCCCATAACCCTTCCTAGTCTCTGGTAACCATCATTCTACTTTCTACCTCTGAAAGATCAATTTTGTTAGCTCCCACATATGAATGAGAATATGCAATATTTTTCTATTTTTAGGATACTGCCAATGTGAAAGATGAAAATACAAATAAATCATCTATATGTTCTTGGTCAGTTCACAACATTTACAAAATATAGAACCACCAAAAGTAAGTTCTTCTGAAACAGAGAATAAGATGTTTTACCTTAGTTGCCAAACTGAGTATTTTCTTTTTAAGTAAGGCTACAAAATATATATATACATATTTTTGAGTTGGAGTCTCACTCTGTCACCCAGGCTGGAGTGCAGTGGCACACTCACAGCTACCAGAGCCTTGACCTGCTGGGGTCAGGTGATCCTTCTGCCTCGGTGTTTGAAGTAGCTGGAACTACAGGTGTGCGCCATCATGCCTGACTAATTTTTTGATTTACTGTAGAGATGAGGTCTCACCAAGGTTCCTAGGTTGGTCTCAAATCCCTGGGCTCAGGCAATCCTCTTGCCTCTGCCTCCCAAAGTGCTGGGATTATAGGTGTGAGCCACTGTGTCCAACCCCAAAATACATTTTTAGAAGTCGCTTCTCTTATTCTGCTGTACAATTCTTATTTTTTCCTTAATAATTATAGATTGGGGGGGCACACCTCATCAACAAGAGTATCTGCAAAATGAACATTTGAAGACCTAACCCTGATTTGTAACCCACATCTTTAAAATAAAAAATCTAAAAAAAAAATTATAGGTTTAAAAATGTCTTCATTTAGCCAGGCATGGTGGCACACACCTGTAGTTCCAGTTACTTCAAATGTTGAGGCAGAAGGATCACCTGAGCCCAGCAGGTCAAGGCTGTCGTAGTTGTGAATGTGCCACTGCACTCCAGCCTGGGTGACAGAGTAAGACTCCAACTCAAAAAAAAAAAAAAATCTTTAAAATTAAAAATTAAAGATTAAAAAATGCCTTCAAGTTCTTCTTTTGCTCATTATAAAAAAAGTCATGTCTAAACACATAACTCTGAAAAAAAATATAGACAAGACTAACCTGTAGTGCCTAGAGGTACACATTCAGGTGATAAAGCTATAAAAAAAATGCAAGGAAGTTACTACTAGAGAAGTCAGGGTATTGGTGGAAGAGAGGGGCTGTCACTGAGATAGAATACCAGGAAGTGGTTCCTAGGCTGGCCAGCACAGTTCTATTTCTTGACCTAGACAGTGCTCACTTTATAATTCACTCAGCCATACATTTGATTTGTGTTTATTTTATAATAAAATCTATTTAAAACAACATTCCTTTTATTTAACATTGCTTCATCTCTCATGAGAACAAAAGACATATTAGACAAATGAAAAACACTTTTCTTGTCTCAAGGAACACCAAAACTCTCTTCTGAAGTATGTGGCTCACAAGAGGAAATATTTGAAATTTGCATACTTTCCAAGCAGCAACTGACATCCTAATTTTCATCTAGTCCAAAAGTTAGATATCAACATAGCTGAAGCTAAGATGTAAGGACACAGGAAAACGTTCTTGTTTATGAGGTTGATCTGAAGAAGACAAATTCACTTAAGAGAAAATGAGGTCTGTGGTGCCCTGTGGCTGATATGCCAAATAAAAATGTTTGCTGCTACACAATAGTAATGTAGCATAAACCACTCATTTCATAGTTACTCAGCTTTAAGACTAAGACTTATAATCCAAGAAAGCTGATTTAAAAAAAAAATTCAGTTGGGTGTTGTGGCTCACACCTGTAATCCCAGCACTTTGAGAGGCAGAGGCGAGAGGATTACCTGAGTTCAGGGGTTCGAGACCAGCCTGGGCAACATGGCAAGATCTTGCCTCTACAATAAATTTTTTAAAAAGTAGCTGGGCATGGTGGCATGCATCTGTGGTTCCAGCTACTTGGAAGTCTAAAGTAGAAGGATCACCTGTGCCCAGCAGGTCGAGGCTGTGGTGGCTGTGAGCATGCCACTGCAATCCAGCCTGGACAATAGAGTAAGACTCCTAATCAAAACAACAACAACAAAGTTTAAAAAATACTTAGACTTAAATTTAAGACTAAGTTTAAGACTTTAAGACCAAGTTTGTGAAAGCTTAAAAAGACCTTAATAAATCTGGTACACACCTTATGTCAGCTATTCCGTGGGGTGCAGGGGATACAAAGGCAGGAGGAACACTTGAGCCCAGGATAATTAATGAGACCAGCATGGGCAACATAGCAAGACACTGTCTCTAAAAAAAAAATTTTTAAAGACCTTAACAGAACATTAATAGGTAACCCCAGAGCTGTGAATGTCAGTTAACCTGGTTTTCAATCTATTTCAGAAGCAGCAGCATTAATTGGACACTTTCTGTAGAAATGGTAGGCTATTCATTCAACATCATTTGCTATAGCGGGATTGCTTCCTCCAGTCTGAAAGTAGAGAAAAATGCAAGGAAAAATGTAAGCACTGGATCTGTTTTGCATAAATTATGACAACAAAAATTACCGTTGTTGTGCTT